ATAACAGAGAGACCCTGGAGGAGCAACAGCTAAGTGACTGTCAGACTCGGAACCTGGCTAAGATCCTACTGGCCACAACCATGGATGACCCACATGAAAAACAGAGACGTCTCAAGAAGCTGGCTTCAGGAGAAGCTTGCCCTTGACCCCAAAGAGCCAAGACCTCTTCACTTTTGAATGGGCAGACCCGGAGAAGGGTATCAGTGGCCAACTCACCTGGAATCGATTACCACAAGGATTCAAGAATTTGCCCACCATCTTTGACGAGGCACTGCACGAAGACTTAGGTGAGTTCCCTGCCAAACACCCTAATCTGACTCTATTACAATATGTAGATGATACCCTGTTGGCAGCAGAGGACCAGGAAACATGCTTACTAGGCACCAAGGACTTGCTCCAAACGATAGCAACTCTGGGATACCAGGCTTCAGCTAAGAAGGCCCAGAACTGAAGAACGGAGGTGAGCTACCTGGGGTACAAATTAAAAGATAGACAAAGATGGTTAATGGATGCATGGAAGGAGACCGTCATGAGAATCCCACAGCCTCGAAATGTCCGCCAGGTACGTGAATTCCTAGGGTTGGTTGGGTTCTGCCGATTGTGGATCCCAGGTTTCGCTGACATAGCTAAGCCCCTCTATGAGGCCACGAAACAAAAGCAGGACTTTGTATGGACTGAGGCCATGGACAGAGCCTTCAATGACCTTAAACCAGCCTTGCTTTCAGCCCTGGCACTCGGGCTGCCTGATCTGACTAAGCCCTTCCATCTTTACATGGATGAAAAGGAATGGGTGGCAAAGGGAGTCCTAATTCAATACATGGGCCCCTGGAAGAGACCGGTGGCATACCTCTCAAAGAAATTAGATGCCATGGCCGCTGGATGGCCTCCATGTTTAAAAATTATTGCTGCAGAGGCCACCATGGTTAAAGATACAGATAAGCTGATTATGGGGCAGGAACCATATGTCACTACCCCACATGCCATTGAAGGGGTACTCGAACAACCCCTGGACCAATGGATCAGCAATGCCCGCTTGACCCATTACCAGAGCTTGTTTTTGAACCCTACCAGAATTTTGTTCCAGCCGCCAACAGCCTAAACCCAGCGACACTGCTCCCTAACCCTGATGGGGACCCCCCCACCCACATGACTGCCAAGAAATCCTGGCTCAGGTGCACGGAGGCAGAGCCCATCTCCAGGACCGAATGCAGATGCATCCGAATGCAGATGACACCTGCTATACGGTATACAGACGGCAGTAGCTTTGTCCGGGAAGGAATCAGGTATGCGGGGGCAGCTGTGACCACAAAGACAGAGAGTGTCTGGGCGGAACTGTTGGTGGCTGGGAGTCTGCCCAACGTGCAGAACTGATTGTGCTAACCAAGGCGCTAACAATGGGAGCAGACAAGCAGATAAACAACAATACTGATAGCAGCTACGCCTTTGCCACAGCCCACATCCACGGAGCCATTTATAGAGAAAGAGAGCTCTTAAGAGCAGAAGGAAAGACTATTAAAAACAAGGCAGAAACCCTCGAGCTCCTAAGGGCTCTCTGGCTGCCTAAGGCAGTGGCCATTATCCATTGTCTAGGACATTAAAAAGCAGACACGCCAGTGGCCAGGGGAAACAGGCTGGCCGACTTAAAGGCAGAAGAGGCAGCTCTTTCAGTGGACCATGTCTTAGTGACCACACTGCCCGATCCGGGAGCACCGAGCTTGCCAGACAACCCCAACTACGCTGACGAAGACTTAACAATAGATTAGGCGTCTGCCCGGGACACAATGCCTACATGGCTGGTGGATAATCAGCTGCTGCTGATTATGCTGCAGCGTAATCCTACCAGAGGAACTGGGACGGCGACTCCTATCCAAAATGCAGAAGTACACACATGGGAACAAAAAAAATGGAAGACTTGGTGCGACATGCAAAGATCACTATCAAAGACTCCCTATCAAAGATCGAACAGATTGTGGCAAACTGCCACGCATGCCAATTAACTAATGCCACCGCCCATGGATCTAACCTGGGCACCCGGATCCGGGGGGACCGCCCAGGAGCCTACTGGGAAGTGGACTTCACCGAGATAAAACCTGGAAAATACAGATACAGGTATTTACTGGTATTTGTAGATACTTTTTCAGGATGGACAGAAGCATTTCCCACCAAACATGAAACCGCACAGACCGTGACCAAGAAACTGCTGGAAGACATCTTACCGAGGTATGGTTTTCCTGTTAAGATTGGATCAGACAACAGACCAGGATTCGTCTCTAAGGTAACACAGGGAGTGGCACTAGTACTTGGGGCAGATTGGAAATTACATTGCGCATATAGGCCCCAAAGCTCAGGACAGGTAGAGAGGATGAACAGAACATTACAAGAAACCTTGACTAAATTAGCCTTGGAGACTGGCGGGGATTGGGTGACTCTCCTCCCCTTCGCCCTATATAGGGTGCGAAACTCCCCATCTAAGATGGGACTTACCCCTTACGAGATCATGTTCAGTATTCCTCCACCTATTATTCCCAGTTTAAAATCTGAGGTGCTTGCTGAGTTTGATGATCACCAACTCCTTTTCTCCCTCCAAATGTTACTACGAATCCATGAACAGGTGTGGCCTAAGCTGAGGGCCCTCTACGAGACTGGGCCACACCCAGACCCCCATCGATATCAGCCGGGTGACTGGGTGTACGTCTGGAGATACCAACACCAGACACTTCAACCATGGTGGAAGGGACCCTACATTGTGATCCTGACCACTCCCACCGCTCTCAAGGTCGACAGGATTACTCCCGGGGTCCACTACACCCACATCTGGCCAGCTGACCCACATGCCATTCTCAAGGACTTCGTCCCAGAATGGAAAAATCAGCCCCACAAGGAAAATCCCCTAAAGCTAAGACTGCGCCGTTCTCACTTACTCCACTAATGTTGCTTACTTTTGTCAAAGACAGAGTCAGTACAGTTCAGCTCATGGTACTCAGACAGCAATACCAACCATCGGACCTTGTTGCTGAGACCAGCCTGGGCCCATGATTGGGGCCTTCCTTAGGTTCCTCTGAGAGGGGGAAATGTGGAGGCTGAGAAAAATTAAGGCCATCCCACCTCAGGTTTAGCCTTAGTGTAAGTACAGCCATCTTAGCTCCGGCAGCCATCTCAGACCCCTGTGCCCAAGGGCTGAACTTTCCCCTACTTTACTTTAGTTCTAAGGATCCCCACCCTGCTTTAGTAACAGGGTTCCAGAGACCCCCACCCTGCTTTAATAACAGGAACTCATAAATACCCCTGCCTTAACTAAGCTCGGCGTCCAAGTCCCTACTCCGCTGTGTCGGGTATACTTGGGTCCAAGCTTAAGCTTGTTGAATAAACCCTGGTGTGATTACATCGGTGTTGGCTCCTTGCTGGTCTCTCCGACGCGAAAACTGGGGTATAACAGTGGGAGGTGGGGCCTGGGCAGGGGTCCCCAGGGGCGCTGGAGGAGAGCGGAGTCTCCGCCGTGCTTTGGCCCGCCCCACCGGCTCCCGGCCCCGCCGTTGGGGGGCGCTGCCTCCTCCCGGGCGGCTGGGGGCGCTGCGGCCAAGCGGCGGGGGGCGCTGCCTCCTCCGGGACGGCGGGGGGCGCTGCGGGCCGGGCGGCGGGGGCGGCCCGGACCGGCGCGGCGAGAGGCGCGGCGGATGGAGAGTCTGGCCGCGGCCGGCGGCGCCGCCTCCTTGTCGGGCCAGGCACGGCGGGCCGGGGCCTTTGTGTGAGGCGGCGGTGGCGATGGTGCTCGGGCCCCGCGGAGCCGGGTAAGCGCGGCGGGGCCGAGGGCTGACCCAGGTCGAGGCCCGACCCCCGTCCCGGCCTTTCTCTCGCTCTCGCGGGGCTCCCTCCTGCCCGCTCCCGTCGGCCGGACCCATCATACCCGGCCGCGCGCCGACCCCGGCGGGTCCCGCCGCCCATCCTTTCGCTCCCGTCTGGCCCGGCGCCCCCGGAGCCGCCCCGGCGGGATCCCCTGCCGCTTGGGGAGCGACCGAGGTGCTCGGTGGCCCCCGGATGGAGCACCCTGGCCCGATCCAACCCTGTTCTTGCTGGGTTTGACCCTCCAGAGGAGAGACTGCGGCACCACGGGATTGTTGGGGTGCCTTCTCGGAAGTTCCCAGTGTGCCCCCCTTCCCACCCTCCACTCAGGCTTGCCAGTGCCCCGACCTGATGTGTGGCCGCCAGGGCCCGGGAGACGCTTCCCTGTATCCCAACAAAGCGCAGAAGCTTCTTGGACCCCAGAAAAAGTTGGGAGTTTGTAGAGGTGGTGAGGTGGAGAAAGGGGCTGTGTTGCGCGGGGCGAGTGCTGAGACTGAAGGAGAATGCAGCTAGCTTGTCTTCCTCACTCATGCAGGACTGGGTCGGGGGGAGTGGGATCTAGCAAGCTTTTAGGAGTCTTGCCAGTATAATTAGATGCCCTCTTGGGGCATTAAGTAAGTCTTTTCGTTCTGATCAGCATATGCATAGATCCCAAAAACGGTGGTTAAAAAAAAAAAAGGCATATGTAAGTAATAGTAAATGCTACAGTGTATTCTATTTTGCTTTATTTCTTTGGGTCTTCAGTGTTTTAGCTTAATCTTAAGCATGCGGAGGAGGAGACAGCAGTATCTGGATGGCTCTGGGTTACGGTAAGACAAGAGACTAGGCAGGTAGGTGGTTTAGGGAGGGAGAGATCAGAACTCATGAATGAGCAAGAGGTCTATTTAGGGACTGGAAGGTGAGAGCATTGATAAGAAAATAAAAGAGCAACCTTCTCTTGCACTTAGCAGCTAATGGAACTTTGGTAATTATGTTCAAGTACTTTTACGGCATTTGTAAGAGAAGGGAAGGTACTGAACGAGATAGGAAAGCTTGTATTGGGGAAGAAGTTAGGAGATTCATTTGCGCCCTCCATCTGCTAATGAAGTGAGGGATTATGTCCGAGAGGTTGCCTCTGACTTGGCCCTAAGGTACTAGCTTCTGTCCCACCAGGCCTACCCCCTCTCTTACTGACTCTCACAGATGGCGCTATCAGATTTTTTTCAATACTTTCAGGTTTTGTTGTGACCGCTCTGTCTTTGGGAACATGCAGGGAGAGAGATCATTGTCCCGTCACTTGTCCTTGCCCCCGGCAGCATGGAGCAGCTTGGGGTCATCTATGAGGTGTCCCTTGGCTCCTCCCCGCCCAGGGCTCACAAACACTCAGACTGGCGGTATTTTCTTTGGCAGAGCTCCTCGTGTGCAGGGATGTGTTTGGCCATCCATCTCTTCCTTTTGCTGTCCACAGGTGAACCGTGCTGATACAGAGGCAACGTCCTAGGAGCTGCTAAGATGGGCATGAGGATCAAACTGCAAAGCACCAACCACCCCAACAACCTACTCAAGGAACTCAACAAGTGCCGGCTCTCGGAGACCATGTGCGATGTCACCATTGTGGTGGGGAGCCGCTCCTTCCCGGCCCACAAGGCCGTGCTGGCCTGCGCGGCGGGCTACTTCCAGAACCTCTTCCTGAATACAGGGCTGGATGCTGCCAGGACCTACGTGGTGGACTTCATCACCCCTGCCAACTTCGAGAAGATTCTGAGCTTCGTCTACACGTCGGAGCTCTTCACAGACCTGATCAATGTTGGGGTCATCTATGAGGTGGCTGAGCGCCTGGGCATGGAGGATCTCCTCCGGGCCTGTCACTCCACCTTTCCTGACTTGGAGAGCACCGCCGTGGCCAAGCCCCTGACCAGCAGCGGGGAGAGCCACTCTGGTACCCAGAGTTGTAGCTCGGCAGAACCTGCCTGTCCGCTTGGAGACCTCCGGGGGGGTGGGGAGCACTTCGGTCCTGATAGGAACTATGTGTTACCTAGTGATGCTGGAGGAAGCTGTAAAGAGGAAGAGAGAAATGTCACCAGTGACACTAACCATAGCTTGCCTCTGTCGCAGCAGCCCATGCCGCCAAAGACGGAAGACCATGACGGCCCTGCTCCTTTCAACCCCGTCCCTAGTCTGGTGACTCAGCCGGTCCTAGGCGCCGTCAGCATGGGCATCCAAACCAGCGTGAGCTCTTGTCAGCCGTACAAGGTTCAGAGCAACGGAGACTTCAGCAAAAACAGCTTCTTCCCCCCTGACCGTGCAATTGACATTACCCCTGGGACCAACTCGTGTCTGAGCAATAGCGACCACTCCAAAGATCCGGGCTTCGGTCAGATGGATGAGCTCCAGCTGGACGAACTGGGGGATGATGACTTGCAGTTTGAAGACCCCACCGAGGAGATAGGCACAGCCGAGGAGGTGATTGAGTTGAGTGACGACAGTGAGGATGAGCTGACTTTTGGCGAGAGTGACAACCGGGAGAATAAGGCCATGCCCTGCCAGGTGTGCAAGAAAGTTCTAGAGCCCAACATTCAGCTCATCCGACAGCATGCTCGGGACCATGTGGACCTGCTGACAGGCAACTGCAAGGTCTGCGAAACCCACTTCCAGGACCGAAACTCCAGGGTGACCCACGTTCTGTCCCACATCGGCATTTTCCTCTTCTCCTGCGACATGTGTGAAACTAAGTTCTTTACCCAGTGGCAGCTTACCCTCCACCGACGGGATGGGATATTTGAGAACAACATCATTGTCCACCCCAACGACCCCCTCTCTGGGAAGCTGGCTCTCTTTTCTGGGGCAGCCGCTGCAGAGTTGAAGTGCGCTGCCTGTGGGAAGGCACTGGCCAGAGATTTCCATGCAGTCCGAGGACACATCCTTGACCATCTGCACCTGAAGGGCCAGGCCTGCAGTGTCTGTGACCAGCGCCACCTCAACCTCTGCAGCCTCATGTGGCACACGCTGTCCCACCTGGGCATTTCCGTCTTCTCCTGCTCTGTCTGTGCAAACAGTTTCGTGGACTGGCACCTTCTAGAGAAGCACATGGCCGTGCACCAAAGCCTGGAGGATGCCCTCTTCCGCTGCCACCTGTGCGGCCAGAGCTTCAAGTCAGAGGCCGCCTACCGCTACCACGTGAGCCAGCACAAATGCGGCAGTGGCCTTGACGCCCGGCCCACCGCGGGGCTGCAGCACCCCACTCTCCAGAAGCGGAAGCTGCCGGCGGAGGAGTTCCTGAGTGAGGAACTGGCTCTGCAGGGCCAGCCCGGGAACAGCAAGTATAGCTGCAAGGTCTGTGGCAAAAGGTTTGCCCACACGAGTGAGTTCAACTACCACCGGCGCATCCATACGGGCGAGAAGCCGTACCAGTGTAAGGTGTGCCACAAGTTCTTCCGAGGCCGCTCGACCATCAAGTGCCACCTGAAGACGCACTCGGGGGCCCTCATGTACCGTTGCACAGTCTGTGGCCACTACAGCTCCACGCTCAACCTCATGAGCAAGCACGTGGGCGTGCACAAAGGCAGCCTCCCACCTGACTTCACCATTGAGCAGACCTTCATGTACATTATCCATTCCAAAGAGGCGGAGAAGAACCCGGACAGCTGACTGGGTCCCCGCGGAGCCAAGGGCAGCTCCCAGGCAGCAGCCAGGACGTTGATATTCTAATGGCTGTTGGGCCCTCTGCAGTTTCAATTTGGCCTTGCTAGGAAATTCTGTTCTGTCTTGTGTTAAAAGAGGAAGAAAGAGCACACAAGCTGTTACTGTTTTTGAGAAGCAATGGCCCTATCATGTTTACCTCCTTATCTGTTCTTGCCCACGGTGGGCTGTGTTTTTGAGTCTTCGGAGGCCGGGCTTGGGATCTGGTCAGGCAGTTGATGTCAACTAGATCCCCTGACTAGATCCCCTCTCCACACCTCTCAAGTTTTAGTTTACTGATAGGTATTTATGCTGCTAAGAATCCAACCAACAGCCTCACTGAATAGAGGAGGTGGAGAGAGGTTTTCACTGTGGGTATTATTGCCAGATTTCCAACTGGGATGCCCAGCTCTGAGAGAGATTTGGGGAATGTGGTCTTTCAGAAAAGACTAGTCTGCAGGGCAGCTCACTTCAGGCACCAGGCCCGGCCCTCAGCAGGGAAAAGGCAGATGGGACGGCGGCGCCTGCTCGTTTCCATGCTCTCATCTGCTGGGGGGGAGAGGAAAATCTTTCGGCAGCTAGATCCAAACTGGGGGCAGAACTTTCTGTTTAGGTCAGAAAGCTTTGGGATGAATCCTTGCTGGTCAGAAGAGGTGTCCTCCAGGTCCGCCGGAAGTGGCAGCCTGGACGGACAGGAAGGGAGTCTTCTCTTTTCTCCTCGATTCCAAAGAAATAAGATTTTATGGCGTTGTAGCCCAGGTGGTTGGTTAGGCCTTCCCTGTGGGGCAAAGAGGACAGGGAGCCCTTTGATACAGTCATCTGTCATCTGGCTACCTCCGTCGACCTTGAGTTTCCTGGTGGAGAGGTGGGGATGTCTCTGACAGCAGCAACCTTGCCTTAATTTACATCCAGTCTCCCACCTAGAAGTGTGTTTGACCTGTGGTGTAGATGAGAAGACCCCACGGGGTGGCAGAGTGATGGACTGTGAGCCCTTCAGGATCGAAGGGACCCGAGTGTGTAACGGGATGTGCGGTCTTTCTGTCCCAGTCGGGTAACCTGTTGTTTACTTTGTGCTAACTGCCAGGAGCTTTGGCAGCTCACCTTTGACCTGCTGGAATTTATCCTGATCTGTCATTGCATCGCCACCAGGGGGCGTTATTGGACGGCAGCTGGTGCAGGCCTGCCCCAGGTGGCTGGGATGGAGTCTGCCCAGTCCTTGGGGCTGGTTGCTCCATTCTTTGTGGCTTTTGAGGGGTTCTTGCCCAAAGAAGGCTTGAGGGAGAGGGCCTTCGGATCCCGCATATTCACAAGGTAGCACCTCAGTAACTCATACTACCTCAGCCTGCTCAGGCGAGCTCTGGGAGTCCCTGGCCTAGGCCCTGACACTGCCCTTGGGGGGACTCAGCAGCACCCGGGCTGTTTCACAAGCGAGTGGTTTTAATTAACTCACAGAGCCTTTTGGAACATTGATATTTATTTATTTTTGCTTTTATATACATAGTACCCAGCATCTCTTTTGGATAAGTGACTTAAGGAAAATGAGTTTCTCCCCAGTGAGTAGCCATAGTCCAGGGGACGGTCCTGGCCAGAGGTTTGGAAATGGGGGCTCGGACTCAGGGAGAAGGTGTCTAGCCTTTAAACAAGCGACTCCTTTTCTTTCTGTCCAGATAGTCTCTTGCAGAATAAGCCCAGGGAACCCTTTAGGTAATGGATGTGAGTTCTAGAAAGTTGGAGCTTATTAAATTCCTCGGCCTTTCCTGCATGCGCTTGAGTAGATAGGGGACCGGGTTGAGGGGAACAAGTTAAATGAAGGAACTTTTTGCACATTTTCTCATCCTTCCTAAACTTGGAAAGCTATATTAAGACACACAGGCAAGCCAAAGTTCCGTCCCTGTCGGACTTGCTGCCTCTCTCTCTAGCCCTAAATTGGTAAAGCCTCCCAGTTGGGGTGCCTGGCTCTCTGGTGGGGTGACTGTTACATGAAGGGATGTGTACCAGTGGCCGCTTTTCGCCATCGAACTTGTTATTCGTCCCCTCAGGTCATTCTTGTCAAGAAAGCAGTGCTGAGACTTTCTGTCCCTGACTGGCTTCTCCCTTTCTTTTCCCGCACTGACCGTTGGAAATTTTAAGAAGGCGAATGTGTGGAAGACCGCCGTCAAGTATCTGCTAAGCTTTTGAAGGCTGAGTGATCCCTCCTAGACTGTCAATGAGGACCAATTTTTGAACGGTCAGATTTGAGAGAGGTGGTACTTACTGGAACCCAGCCAGCTGGCCAAGCATGGATCAGTGTGCTGGAGAAACCCTTTTCCTTAACGGAGGGCATCGTGGATGCTGGGTAGTCTGTATACTTAACCTGAAACTGTGAAGTTTTCCCTTTTTACCAGTAAACCAAAAAGCAAATCCTTGAACCTTGCCCCTGAAACACTAAACAAAAAGCTGCACCCCCTGATCGTCCTGAGGCCAAGCGCTTGATTGGGGGGTGGGGGGTTGGTTGCGGTCAGATGTGTAGCAGGGGTCAGTAGCTTGTGAGGCTCACTGACCAAACCCCATTTCTCTGCTTGTCCCCATATTCACACCTGACCCCTCCCCCTGTTTAGAGTCATGTTTGCTGCCTCCACCTCCAGCTCACCCTTTTCCGAACTGTTTTACTTGAAACTCTATGTTGTGGCAAAGGGCACTCTGGGATCCCTGGTCGAAGGTATTCATTTTATTTTGAGTTTTTTAAACTTTTTCAGCCTTCTGTTTTGTTGCCTCTCTGCCTTGGAGCCCAGTTTAGCAGTCTGCTGTAATGTTCTGAGGTTCTCTCTGACCCCCTGAATGTCTTTTCTCCTCCCCCTTCTTCTCTGTTGTTCTGTACTCAGGACCAGCTACATAATTTGCAGAGTCCTTTGTTTAAAAATGAAGAATTTCAAGATGGCGACTGTAGAGCATTAAATCAGGCACGAGGCTATTCCTGACCTGTTTCTTAAGGGAAGAAGGTAATACTTGCATAGCACGTCAGAATAAATAGCAGAGGCTGCTTTTGGCCACAGGAAGGGGTCCGTCTCCCGCCTCTCCTGTGAGCCGGTGCTGGCTTGCTAATGCCGTAGTGCCTGCTGGGAAGCTCTGCTACATTTTAGTATTTGGTCCCACATTTTAAGATCCCAGGGAGTCTCTATAGTTTATGGCTAGGTGGAAAGAAAGGAGGTGGGGGTTGGGCCCGGGTGACCCCTAAGAACCAGGAAATGGGTAAACTCTTTTTTTTACTTTATTCCCTTCTGATCCATCAGCACCCCTTTGTCTCCAGGACAAAACTTTGGGCCTAAATACCTTCTCCCAGTCAGGTTTTGCTACTGATGAATTTTCTTTGTCTTCTAGCCTCTTACTGTGCCCTGTTCCTGAGACTACTCAACTTTGGAAGTGAATTTAAATCCTTTTCTAGGTGGACACTGATTTTGTTGGTGTGGGAGTGGGCTGTGGAGAAGTCTGCCCGTCCGGATGTCCCCTCACATCCTTTGCTTCAGTCCTGCCCTGATTGGGTCAGGAAGCCGGGGGCACACAGCATTCATTTCACTGTCATCACTCATCGGCAAACTTAACATCAGAATGAAAATGAAACTGTTTTGATTTTGCTGTTTCTTTAACACCCTTCCCCTGTCCAGTCCACCCTTCCCTCCCACCTCTGCTAGTGAAAGTCTCTTATGAAACCGAGAAGAGTTGTTGACGCCTAACTTCCTTCCATTAAATTAATAAGTACTGACCTCCTAATATTTAAGTGTTTACTATCTATTGCTGTAAAGTTTTGTATATTTTGTAAACTTCTTTTCCCAAATAGTAGATGTCTAAAATCGTTGTACATCTGATTCTTTTATATTCCATTGTTCGGCACAAAGTGTGGTTTTTATTTAGAATAAAAAAAGGAAACTTGAAACAGGAATTCTTTTCCTCTTGACTGGGGTTACTCTGTCCCTTGAGTTCAGAAGATTGGGGCCCAACACTCGGTAGCGGCAGCATTGTGCTCAGCAGATGCCAGGATTCTTTTTAAAGGATTTTCTTTATTAGAGCATGAGCAGAGGGGAGGGGCAGAGGGAGAGGGAGAAGCAGACTCCCCACTGAGCCCAGAGCCCAACTTGGGGCTCAATCCCAGGACCCTGAGATCATGACCTGAGCCGAAGGCAGAAGCTTAACTAACTGAGTCACCCAGGCACCCCTGATGCCAGGATTCTTTCGGGTAGCACAGTTTCTTTTCCTTTTTTTTTTTTTTTTTTAAGATTTTATTTATTTGAGAGAGAGAAAAAGCACAAGCTGGGAGGGAGGCAGAGGGAGAGAGAGAAGCAAGCTCCCTGCTGAGCAGGGAGCCCGACACAGGGCTCAATCCCAGGACCCTGAGATCATGAACTGAGCTGAAGACAGATGCTTAACCAACTGAGCCACCCAGGCACCCCCCCCCCCCCCACAGGTTTCCTTTCCTGTAGCTGGAGTTCCCCGGGGTTAACCTGTTGACCTGTTTTTAGTGGCAAACTAATTCAATAGCCCAGCCTTTCCAGGGGAAACCTCCCTGGGGGGATCTGTTGGCCCAGAGAGTAGTGGACTCTGCTCATGTCTAGTTGGGCTAGAGGTTCAGCCTCAGATTGTCCTGCCAGTGCCATCTGATTCACTGATGTGGCATGTCCGGGCGGACAGAGGCAGACTCAGAGGAGGTGGAAGTTTGGCATGGTCTCATGGGGTTGTTAACAAACGTACCTCCACAAGGAAGGAGCTAGACATCAGAAGTTGGGGCGTGACGTGGTCCATCTGGTCTCCACACGTGGGTCAGGTGTGGCGCCGGTCAGGGCTCAGAGAATGCCAAACAGAGGAGTCTTGCCGCTGTCAGCATACCCTGGGCTCTGGCCTCCCAAGCCCCTAAGGAGGTATTCCTGCCACCCAGGGTGATAACGTGTTGCCAAAGAAATCCTTGAGAAGAGTGAGCCCCTGGGGGGCTGGTGTCCCAGGTAACCCAGGAGGTGACAGATGTGACATTGGGTTCCCTTTAGGAAACTTCTGGAGCTTCAAGTCAGCAGAGGCAGTGATAAGGGCATCAGATTTGGGCTTGGTTTTTAAGATTTTTTTTTTTTAATTTATTTATTTGTCGGAGAGAGAGGAACAAGAGTGAGCACAGGCAGAAGAGTGGCAGGCAGAGGCAGAGGGAGAAGCAGGCTCCCTGCCAAGCAAGGATCCCGATGTGGGACTCAATCCCAGGATACCGGGATCATGACCCGAGCTGAAGGCAGCTGCTTAACCAACTGAGCCACCCAGGCATCCCTTGGGCTTGGTTTTTATTTTTATTTTTATTTACTTATTTTTTTAAAAGATTTTATTTACTTATTTGAGACACAGAGATCACAAGTAGGCAGAGAGGCAGGCAGAGAGAGGGAGAGAGGAGGAAGCAGGCTCCCCACCAAGCAGAGAGTCCGATGCGGGGCTCCATCCCAGGACCCTGAGATCATGACCTGAGCCAAAGGCAGAGGCTTAACCCACTGAGCCACCCAGGCACCCCTGGGCTTGGTTTTTATATGGGCACAAAGGAGGAAAGTCTTTTTTAATGCATTTTGTGTATTGTTCGGTTAATCCCTTCCTGCAACCCCAAGTCACAACCCGGACTGTCCTGGCTGAAAAAGCCTTCAGCTCTGTGCCACGGAGCAGCTGCCTGTCGCTTAAGACCCTTTTGGATTTGGGTCCGGCGAGCAGGATTGCAGCCGCATTTCCCTCTGTGCCCCTGACAGATGGGTACATACACTATCAGAGCACATGTTTAGTGCATCAGATAAATGCAGTTCTCAGATTTCTAAAGGCGTGACGTGCTCCAGGTCAGTGAATGGTTATTCCAAGTGAAACATTCCAGAAATACTGAGCTCTTGAGCAGAGCAGAGGCCGTCAGTGATTATGTTCACAAACCCTTTATTCTGCTCGGGCGGGGTTAGGACACCAAGCACTTGGAACTAGTGGGCTGGGGACCGGTTCTTAGATTTTTCCTTCACGGACATGGTCCTAGATTCCCAAACTGATAAATGAGTCTTTTCCAGAAGACCTACTTGTCAACAAGAAGGCTTCTTTTCCTATTTATAGGACAAGCGTGAATAGAAGTAAGTTGCTCGACAGGAAAATTAATGGAAGACCTGGCCTGGGAGAATGAAGTTTAAGGGTGAGGATTGACTTAGAATACCAGAGCTCTGCCTTGTGACAGAATCGGAAAATTTCTACTTCCCCATCCCCTGCTCAGGGGACAAGGGCTGAGGGACAGAGCCTCTGGGAGCGTCTGCCGCTGCCTCTCCCAAGGTCTGCTGTCAGGATGGATGTCCCTTGATATTTTCCCATGATCCAGAGAGAAAGGGAGGGATGGGGGTGGATTTCTGATAGCATCTCTTCCTAGAAGTCTGGAAATGTCCTACATCTGAAGGCGGGAGCAGGTGGGCTCCAAGGAGCATCGACTCTGGGATGGCTCCTCTGCTTCGTGGGGAGGAAAGCAGAATGGATGAAGGGGAGAGTATCAGCAAGGAAATGGAGCCACTTCCTGGATGGTGGGGGTGGGGCACCAGACCTCTGCTTCACCCCCTCCATCCATCATATCACCGAGGATGCTAGGAAACTGCTGAGGCCTCCTGGTTCCTTGGCCTCTGACCGCTTGTCCTCACAGCCTGCACAGTGTGGTGAGGTGGGGGGTGGGGGGGAATCAGCAAACACACAAGTACAAAAGGAAAGTTGTGGGAGGTCCCCGGGGAGCACACTCTTTCCGGCCAGGGTGATTGTTGAAATGAGTGTGTCAAGTTTCTGCTGAGCCTCTCTTTAGCCTATCCCAGCTGGAAGTACAGATTTTGGAAAGAGCCAGAGTCACGTCTGTCTCTGTTACTTATTTCACCATTTTCCCTGAGTGTCTTCTTGAGTCCTGAGGATTGAAACCAACAGGACACCACCAAAGACCTATTCTCTGCCCCTCCCTGCCCCCCCTCCTCCCCATCTCACTTTTATAAGACATACTCAAAATTGACCGTAAGCATTTTGGCCCTTCCCCTCACTCCCCCCAAAATCTCTCACTTACACCCGCAGCTTTCTTCTTCACTGATGGAGAGTGGGATCTACACTGAGGGGCGGAGAGGGGTGAGGTCCTTGGCGCCTACCGGTTCAGGCTTGGTGGTCCTGGGGGCCTGCCGTAGCAGGCTGGGCGCCCTCCTTGGTGATGATGATGGAATGCTGAGTGGAAGAGGAGGAGGACGAGGAAGCCCGTCTGTCCGCCCTGGCCCGGGCCTTGGGAAGGTAATGGACCACGGCGCTCAGCAGCTGGTCCCGGAATCTCGGGCTGAGGAAGTTGTAAAGGATAGGGTTGACCACACAGTGGAGCATGGCGAAGCAGTCGATGACATCGTAGAAGAAGTACAGCAGGTGGACCAGGTAGCAGTGGAGGACGATGTGGGTCCCGTGAAGTGTGAGCAGGAGCAGGGTCACGTGGTAGGGCAGCCAGCAGATGGCGAAGATGACCACGTAGGCGCACACCAGGAGGCAGTGGCGCCGGCCTTCAGGCCATCCCGCCTGCCGAAGCCGGCAGGCCGTGAGCACGTTGAAGACCACCATGAGCGGGAAGGGCAGTAGGAAGCCCAGGATGGTGGTGCACATGGCCACGGCCAGGGCCCACGTGCTGTAGGTTTCAAAGGGCGCCATGAAGAGGCACATGGGCTCAGAGCTCTCTACCAGCTGGATGTGCACCACCTCGGGCAGTGGGATGATCGCCGAGAGGACCCAGACTCCTGCGCACACTGCGCGCCGCATTTGGTGCTGGTGGCGCTGCCAGGAGGGTGACGTGCTGGTAAGGGTGACGTAGCGGTCGATGCTGAGGCACACCAGGAAGAAGATGCTGCTGTACATGTTGGCAAAGTAGAAGTAGTGTGTGAAGCGGCAGGAGAAGCTGCCCCAGAGCCAGGTGTAGTCCAGCATGACCTCCAGCATCCACACGGGCAGAGACAGGACGATGCCCAGGTCTGCGATGGCCATGTTGAGGATGTAGAGGTTCAGCAGCCCTGCCCGGCCCAAGCAGCGCCAGCTGACCCATATCACCAGGAGGTTCTCCACCAGGCCCACCACAAAGATGGCCAGGTAGAGGACAAAGAGGATCACCTGCTTGGTGTCCTCTCGGAGCTCCATGTGGCACTCGGGCAAGGTGTGGTTGAAGAAGGAGAGCAGCTCATTCCAGTTGTGGATCTCTCCAAAGTCACTAGCAGGTGCCGTGGTGAAGCCTTCTGTGGGGGCAGGTGCCATGTTGTCCTTGACCGACATTAGGACTGGTGCACGCCTGGTGGGGAGAAGAGAGGGTTGGAAGAGAACAGAGACCTCGAAAGCAGCCTTAGGTCTCAAGTTAGTGGGCCACAGGGACCAGGAGGCTTTCGGAAAGGATTCTGGGTCTGAAGAGGCAAGAGAGAGAGTTTTAATGTACAGACTGTGGAGAACTAGTATGCAGCTCACTTGCCGGCCTTGACCTGCGAGCCAAGATGTTTTGTTAGGACTCGGTGGCTCGAGAGACAAGAGCTATTTGTGCCCAGCCAGATTCCTTCCCAGCCTGGGGGGCCCCACCGTAGCTCGGGCCACAGGCTGGCTCCGACCTCTACTTCTCTCCTGGAACCTCACCTTTTAGCCCTTTCACCTGGGCCTTCCTTAGGAAGTCTACTCTGTCTCACCTTCGGGCTATGGATATGGGACACACACACACACACACACACACACACACACACACACACACACCTCTCATTTATCCCCGGGGACATCTGTGGGTCATGCCCAAAAAAGTCAGTTTGTCTTCAAGCCCTGATTCCCTTCTTTCCTAAGAGGGAGATACCCACCTGCGTTTCTGTCAGGAGCGCTTCTGGTCTGGGCTGTTGCAGAGCCGTGAGGAGACTGGAGGGCCGATGGCCGTGGGGCTGGCTTCGCTGTGGGCTTCAGGGCCGTCCTTCTCATCCGGGAAGCAGTATCACTGGCTGAGGCTCCATGGG